CTCACTTTGATGGACACGGACTTGTTCAGGATGTGCAGGTCGTCGTCCGAGTCCGCGGACTCGGTGGAGGGCTCGGACTGCGCGAGGGAGTGTCGCGGGCCCTTGCTGTCGGAATCCAGTTTGGCGACGCCGTTGTGCTTCGTCCTGTCAATTAAATGTGAAAAGTGTCTTCCATAATAGTCCAAGCACATAAATTGTAAATATTATTATCTCGTTCTATAAAGCTTCCAGTCGCTGGCATTATCCGAGGCATTGCTGCGGGGAAACTGGATGAGTGTGATATTTAATTGGACATGTATTATTATTTAATGTCAGAGCTTCAATATCGAAGTCCGTATCCTTGAGTAAGGACGAGTTTTAAATAAATTAAAATTTTAATGACAATGAAACCTTCGGTAAGATTTTTAAAAATGTTTCAATATAGTACTAGCATAATATACGTGAAAATTGCACGAATATTGTTTCTAGAACTATGCAACATTAGTGCTACTCACCTCGCAGCGGTGCAGCCCCTCGCCGAGGCTGCGGTGGAATTAGTTTTCGGCGCTTGATTCAATGTTTGTTTGGCCCAGATTCTGTAAACGTATCTCGTCTCATTACATACTATTTCATAATACTAAATAATTTATTCAAATGTTCAAAGCTTGTGAGAATTCAAAAACAAATACAAAGATTTTTTATGTAATTGTAAAAATTTGCATGTTAAATATACACTGGAAATATAAAAATTGAATGTAAAAAATACATAAATACGGAGTTCATCTTTACGTCATTAACCGATCTTAATGTTCACTAATGAGAAATTAATGTTTCAAATTATCTTTGGAAAATTATACCTATCCACGATTTTAATGGAGATTTTCTTTAATAAAAAAGATAAAATTTTACATTTATTGATTTAAGTGCTAATAATCCGCTTGATCCTTCGCCTGCGTGGATCATTATGTAATACATACTGCTAATAATATGAGCTACTAGCGGTCGACCGCGACTTTGTCAGCGCAAAACTAAATAAAAAGTTTCCTACACAATGCGAACCCATCAGATGAACAGTTAAAATCGGTAAAACGAATGAAAGGAGAACCATTTTGTCTTCATTGTAATGTCAACGTTGTTTACAACATAAATGAACAAATAACATGCAATAAAGCATAATAAAGCTACTTTTATGATAACGTAATATTTTTGACCATTAGGTAATTTACGATACATCGGACATGTCGCGATGTTCCCACAATAAAGTCATAATCATTGAATAAATTTACACATTTTTGTTAAAATATTCTAATTTATTTATATCAATGCAACCGATTGGTGCAACTGTGTTCTTATAAATTCAAATTGCGGCAAAATTAAATCATGTTTATTAGTGCAGTTTAAATATAAACAAATTTTAAAGGAATTTAAATGTAAATGCGTATTATTTTTTTAAATTTAAAGGTCAGTTTGTTTTGCAAAGATTTTTTACCTACATTCTACTACTTAAACCGTTTTAAATTCCATTACGCTTTATTTTTTCTATTTAAGAAAATAGTAGGTAATGTAAAAGTAATAGATCTCTATAATTATGTTAACAGAGTTGTGTCCTGCGTCACTTTAATATATGTAGTGTATTTGTGCGATGTTTGTTACCTGTGCGAGAAGAGCGTGTGTATGTGCGAGGTGCGCGGGGCGAGCGGGGCGCGCGCGCCAGCGCTGGCCGCGCCGCACGCCAGCTCGCCCCACAGCCAAGCCAGCACGGAGCTCAGCTGCCGGCAGCACGACACGCCCTGACCACACAACACACGCCTAAGATATCTCGCGTGCAAACCATGACTGCGAGCTCGTAAGCTCAAATCTTAGTGCACTTTCTACCATTTTCTTATAAGAAGGATGGCAAAATAATCATATAAAATAGTCATTTTGTGAGTCTCCTCTTATTTCGATTATAGGGTAATAATGGACACTTTGCTATTTTAATAAATAAGGTCTCCGCTTTTTTGATTTTCGCCTCTTAAATAACCTACTAAGACATCTTCTTTACATTTCACATTAACATATATTATGAGTGAAAAAATATAGCTTGGGATGTCAAGTATCTTGCGATTAAGTTGGCGTGAAAAGCAAAAGGGTGCACTGTAACCGATATGCCAAACGTCGGCTACTTTGTAAAGTGATCAAAAATGAATATTGCACTAAAATCACAACATATGTGCCGTTGTAAAGCGATTAATTGTATTCCCAAGATAACTGTGCAACGAAAGGTCGTTGATTAGTTGCACAAGCGGCGGGTCAGCGACCGGCCGACTGCAACAGGTTTGTGCATATTGCTAACATATACAACAATCTAACACGAGTTGTTTACTAGTCTTGGTAAATGCTAACACGAAAAAATTAAAAAAAAAACAGGTAATCGTACTATCATACTAATATTATAAATGCGAAAGTTT